CTGCTGACTGTGCTGGATTAAGGGATTCTGTTGTGCTCTGTCCCTCTGATGTGCCTGTTTGTGATCTTTCAGTGAACCAGATCAGGGAGCTTGTGAGTTACTGTTGTTGTTGGCAAAGTTATTTTTAGCTTGGATCAATTCCCTGGTCTTGCTTATTGTATGGCACAGTCAAGGTTGGGTGGGAGGAATTCTGCAGGATGATATTGCACCGGAATAGGAAACTATGTGGAACAGCACTTATCAAAACTTGCATTCTACTAGATTCCCCACCTTTAAAAAGTAGAAATAGACAAATCAATTCTTCATTGTTGATGGAGAGGTGTGGTGTCTTTGGCCACAGATTTCAGCAGTTCTACCTGATAGAGGTGTTGAAACTCTTTCCTGTCATCTAACGAAATGGAACTGCCATGAAAAAGAGACTGCTTCTGCCTGGTGTGCAGTGTTTTAAATCAAGATGGGTAGTCCCCTTATCCAAGTTTTTTTTAGGGGAAATAAATCATTAACTCTCTTCCACTCCTGTAGGGCAAAAGAATATGAGATTGAGTATACATATGGAGAGCTAAAGAGAACGCCTTTTGTGAGAATAGGATAGACAATTAAAGTTGGGAGAAGGCAGGTAATGGATCCTGTAAGTGCAGAAAAAGTTTGGGCTTTGTAGGCAAACCTCCATGTTCTCTACCTAGCAGTGCGTCATCCTCATGGGTTTCGGTACTTCAAAATTTTATAGTTTAAGCTTTAAGCTGACAGACTAAAATTCCCTGCTAATATGGTTATTATTGTAGAATATTGTATTTAATTATTATATTTTTATATATAAAAATATTATTATATTATTGTAGAATAGTGGAATTTAATCTTTAATTCTTAAAATGCTTTCCTTCAAATACTTTAATATTTTATCAACTTTGGGTACTTTAATATAAAATACTTTATCAACTGTATTCTTGTGATTATCAAATCTTGCCTGCTGGTAATTACTGGAGAAGTTCCTCACCTAATGCCGAGTATAAAGTCTCCTATTATGATTTGGCAGAAGGTTAGAAATGTATCTTGTTACAGAATTGCCTCTGTTTGTAGAATTCAGCTAGTACTAATTTGATCAAACGGAATAGCTTCTTTTCATTATTTCAAGGTGCTTCACGGCACCCTGGAGCAGAGTTACCAATCTTAACTTTGCTTACATTTTGCTGTCAGTAGTGTGGCATCACTAGTTCTGTGCCGCACATATGCATAAAAGAAAGCATTCAGCTTTTGGCACTGTTTTTGTTTCATAGTGTGGGAACTTCAAAGTATTTGTCTTTCTGGTACAGTACAGCTTTGAAAATGCTAGGCTGAGTGGAATACCATTATTGTTTAACAGGCTTAAGACAAATCATATTCATAGAGTAATTTAGCTTGGCAGGGGCATTTAGACATCCAGTTTCCAACTAAAAAACAAGGGTAAATATTGTAGATCTCATTGAAAGTACAGGTTACCAAGATATGATTCCTCCCTCTAGCCCTCCACCCCCGAAGTGACAGCTGCTAAAGTAGTACTTTGAAAAGTCTTAAAAATGTATGCTGTGAAAGTATTTTACCAAGCTCTTACTGAAGGAGAAGTCAGTGCCACTGCACCATTTGTTCAAATGAAGATGGTGAAATCTTTCTTGCTGTCTAACATTAAGATGACTTTTTAAAGTATTGCAGTTGATGCCTGCTGGAATCTCTGTGTAGCTAACAAGTGGTAACTATATATTCTCGAGCTTCAGATATAATAATTTAGTTCCAAGTTAACTGTGTGGATTGTGTTTATTTCGGTAGCTCTTATGATGTTGTTTATTTAAAAGTTTAAAATCAAATGTATTTTTTTCCCTTCAGTAACCAAAGTAAGGAGGCTTTCATTGACTGGGCAAGATACGATGATTCACAGGATCATTTTTGTGAACTTGATGGTAAAACGTTTAAGCTTCTTCAGAGTGTTTGTTTTATTTGCTGTCTCTTAAAAAACACAAAAGATTATAGTTTCTCTGCAAATAACCATTTAAAAAAAGTTTTAATTTTATGCTAAATGGAGATGTGATAGTTCATATCATCTTACATGCAATGAATGCAATTTTTTACAAGGAGCATTTGGTAATCTGTGCAGTGCACATTCACTGTTACCTCCTGTTAGAATAGTGAACAGAAAACTTTTTATGGAAATAAAAAAGAAGGTAATAGGAGGGGTTAGCATGTGTTTTTAAAAAGCTGCTTCTCACAGAGGGTTGCATCTAGCACAAATATAAGACAGTTGATTCAGTTTTCTTACTAGTATATTATTCTTGTTGCTGTTCTATTGCCTATGCTTCAACTGAGTTTGTTCCTCTTCCAGCCTTGCTATGTTTCCAAATGATCCCTGCACTAAATTCACCCTTATTCGTAAGGACTTTCTTAGTGTTAAAACATTAGGATACTAGATTGTGTCTTCCCTCTGCTCCACATATGCGAGTCTTTTTATTTGCTTGTAACATTCAAAGCTCAAAGGAATGTTTTTCAGATAAACATGATAATTGCCAAGTTCTGGAATGACTGCTAAAGGCTTTTTTAATAAATACCTTAGAATAATAAATACCCATGCCTTTCTATGCTAGGAAGACTTAGGGTGTAATACAAGATGTTTTTATCTACCTTTAGGCTAATGCTTGGTGTCACCTGAGAAAGTAGCAGCTGTAGTGGACTTACCAACTGCGGTTTTCTTTCAGCACTTCTGCTGCATCTTATCTGTGAAAATTTTCTATACCAGCTGTTTCTGTAGTAAATAGTCTGTGAGCTTTACTGTAGATCTGAACTGTTACATGCAATAAGCTGTTGTTGTTTCTACTATCTTCAAGCTGCCTGCTTACATTTTTAAGAGGACTCATTTGGGAAAGGTATAGTTTAGGATCATTTCTTTTAGAAGTAATACTAACTTAAGCAGTTCCTGATTCTACCTCCATCTCTCCTTACATCATGCCCTGCTGAAGGAGGATGTATTGCCACCAGCTGTGTTCTTCCAGTGCTTTTTTTTTTTTTCACTGTCTCTGGCATGCATTTTTCTGCATGGTAAGCTTATTCAGCTTACTTGAATAGCAGGAAAGTAAGTTGACATCTCCCTCCCATCTCCCAGATTGTTGTGATGAACTGGCTTATCAGGTGAGTTCGTGAGCTGGAGCAGAAAGAGGTGAGAGAGTGTAACTACTGTGACTGACTGTGAGGAGGTGGAAACTTGTTCTCTTCCTCTCCTCTCTTCTCTTCCTGGTGGTGAGGGAGCTCTTAATTCGCTGAACTGTAGCACAAAACCATATCATCAGTTTTACTTTTTACTAGCTTTTTGTCGGGCCTAATGATAAACTAGACAAGGGAATTGATCTAGCTGAAAAAAACTTCATAACCCAGGTCAGCTTTCATCTTTCTGTTGCACTGCCCCACAGACTCAATCATATGTGGGTAACGAGAAGAAAAAGTGGAGACCTGAAGTGACCAGGAAGTGTAGGAACTGCTTAGGTTAGCCATGCTGTCAAAGAAATAAAGCTGTAATTTGACTTTGTCTCATCTGGCACTTATTGTGTTGTTGTGCATCTTTTGTCTGTCTCTTTTACTTGTTTTTGCTACTACTGCTGAAGCGATGCTTAACTGCTCTTGCAGAATCATCTCTTCTTTCTAGAGCATTTTTCACTCTCTGTTTCTTTGGCTTTTTTCAACATCTGAGGAAATAGTGGCATTGCTTGGCCTATTCTTATGAATAAGTCTCTGGACTACTGTCTTGTCTTGTATGTGGCTTTTTTTAGGCGTGAGTTGCTCTTGACCTAGAATGTCAGAGGAGGGAATTATTCCTGCTTTTTACTGATTGTAAAGCTCTTAGCTTAAGTTCCTATTCGTACAGAGTTTTTAAGCAGAGAGAGTACAGTTTCACAATTTTCTTTGGATATATGTTGCCTGAATTTGTAGTGAACTTTAGAGATGAGGGTATAACTCATTGAAATGCTGCTTAAATAACATGTTTCTTGCCATACCAACAGAGCGTTCTGCAACATGCTGAAAGTTTGTTCAATTAAGCAATGTGATCCAGACTTTCTGCCTATAAAAGGGTACCTGGGAAAAAGGGATTTAGCTAATAAATATAAAATATGTACCAAGTACAACATGCACTTCTTTGTCCTTGTCTTAATAAAGACGACCCTCTAGCAGTATACCCATTTCAAAAAAGCAACCCCCCCCACTAAATACTGCCAAACAAATCAACCCTGAATTTGAAGCCCATTTAAAACAAAACTCTATTTATATCTTAGCATAGGGTGAGAGAACACATTGTATGACGGGTGTTTATGGCGGTGTTGAAGAAGCCACATAGAAGGTGTTCAGACATTGTAGAAATTGTGGCCACACAAAAGACTTGGGAATAAATTATATACTTACAATATTTCTATTTAGTGTGTATATTGCTATGTTTTTATGTACAAAACATTTATAATCCAACTGGAAGACAGCGGAGTATTATATGAGACCTCTTATTTAATTCTGTGTGACTTTTTTTTAAAGTAAATCTTTTTTAACTGGTCAGTTAGAATATGTAACAAAATGTTTCCTATTTAGATGAGAGATCTCCAGATGCACAGTATGTGGATTTGCTGCTGAATCCAGAACGTTACACTGGATACAAGGGGCCTTCTGCTTGGAGAGTGTGGAACAGCATCTACGAAGAAAACTGCTTCAAGTAATTGGGAGGGGGAGGAAGTCTACTGCTTATATTTGTGCTTCAATTTGGCTTAAAACTGATTTTTGTGCTTTCTAACTTATTTTCTAGGCCTCGATCTGTCTATCGTCCTTTAAATCCACTGGCGCCTAGTAGGGGTGGGTCGTGCCTGTTTTATTTTCTAATGCAGTTCTTTTAACATAGTGACTGTTTCAGTACAAGTGATACAAACAGTAATCTTCAGGCTGTAGGTGTACTTTCTGCTTTTTTAATTTCCTCTGTAGAAGTAGTTGTCCATTTTCAATATTTAGACTAAGGTTTGTGATACTTGATTACACACATGCTTAATCTTCTGCGTAATAAATAGGCTTATTAATGTCAGGGAGCTAACGTGAAAACTAAGGTAAGTCTCAAACCATTTAGAAAGTGTCACAGTAATTTTCCAGTGTGCATGGGAAGGAGTTAAAGTTCAACAAAAATTTTGTCACTTGTACTTTTCCCTTGGGTTTTTGTTCCTAAAGCATTTAATTTAATCACTTTATCTCATAGTCATCCTAGTGTAATGTAGCTGTACATTTTCCATCCATAATGTTTAGTGTATTACAAATGTACAAATAATTACATTATTTGAAGAGTGGATACTTGGGAAGGCTCTGCAAGAATGTTAAAAAAAAAAAAGGTATGCCAATGATTTGACATTTAGGCTTTCAAATTTAAATTGAAAACTATAACCTGGTGTTCCAAATGAATCCGCTTTCCCCTGTAAGTGTGTCTCATTTTCCTTAAAAATTAACTATTAGCCAATAGATTGAGTCAGAAAACATCACTATGCATTAGAAAATCAAAATAGCTCTTAGTAATTATAAATATTGACATAATATATTGCTGGTATTCACAAATGAAACAATTGTAAGAGTAGTTTAACTCAGGGATCAGAATTTCAGAAAGGAACACTGGTCAGATTGTTGAATAATGTGAACTGAAGATGACGACTTCCAAACCATCTTTCTGAAGCAAATACACAGCTTTCAAGAATATGGAAATCAGCTGCTGCTAAGATTTCAAATTCTTAGTGACTTTCATTAGTATAACGTGTTTAGTCTGGTAATCTGGACGCGGAGGAAGAGGATGGAAAGTAGCCTTTTTTTTGTAGATTAAATAAGATTGCTTGCACATTTTCAGTGTTTGTAGTAAAGCCTGTGTTTCTGTTTCATTACTACTTTGCCGTGGAAATTATCTTTTTAATTCTTATGGATTTCTTCCCGCCCCCCCACCCCAGGAGGAGATGATGGTAAGTCATCTTACTTTGCTTGACTTGCAGAAATGAAGTAAGCATTAACAAATTTTGGACATCTGATTTATTCACTTCATTGCTATTGCATTAGAGGGCAGGAAAGTTATGTTTTTATGCAGATGACTGATCAGAAAATGTTTTTATTGGGGTGATTTTTTCACTTGGAGTAGAGGGAAGGACTGGATAAGAGCAAAATACAATTCTGTTGTTGGTTCTTATCCTTGTAACAGATAATGTGTTGTGATAATGTTATTAGTGAGATAACTGGAGATGCATAGATTAAAGGATTCTTGGGTCTCCTCCAGTGCCCCATTGATACTGATGTCAGATCCCTTAAAAGAAGAGGGAAAGTTTTTTTGTGTACTTTCTTGAGTGTCCTTGATTTTGGGAAGGTGGCGAGAGAGTGAGGAGAAAAAGCATTTGGTCTGTCTACAGTGAGACAGACTTTAAGATTTTTTCAGTCAACTGAAAGCTCTCAGGCAAAACATCTAAGCCTACAGGAAACCCTCAGACAGTAGCAGTCAAGGTAAAGGCAATCAGATATAATTAACACTCTTCTGTCGCTAGGACATGTAATCAGGCTTGTGCTTCCATACACTTCTGAATGCCCTGACCAGTAGCTTAGTCATGCTTATTCTTGTATTTCTCCTGTTCTGACCCCGGCAGATTTAAAATTACCTCAAAGTTCAGCCCCTTCAGTGCCTATTCTTACTTTAATAGCTATTTTATTTAGCTTTATGTCCAGATGGTGGCTAATGCTAATATGCATAGTAATATAAAGATACTGTAATGTTGAAAATGAATAGTCTTCATTTAACTATATACTTTGTATTTACAGGAGAATCTTTCTACACATGGCTAGAAGGTAAAGGGTTGGGTTAATATAATGTTGGATGGGTTAATATAATGTTAAATTCACTAGAAGAAACACTGTAGGTTTTGGGGTTTTTTTTTTTAATCTCCACAAATGTTTTCCATAGTGCAGGCTTTTTAATAAATTGTGCAGAACTTCTGAGTGTCATTCAATGGATATTTTTTCTTGAGGGACTTTGGAAATCTTCTTATTCACTTAGATGGTATATTCCTTAAACCCTTCAGTGTTTCGTCTTATAAAGGTGGAGTTCACTTCAATACCAGTTACTTTGAATTTTCGGCTCATTTTAGGCACTTAAGCAGGGACATTATTATTAGTAACGTTGCTAAGTGTTTTTGTTTGAAAACAGTTTTTAAAAAACTAAAGTTTTTGATGGTTCTGTTCCCACTATATAAACATAAGTATAATTTGTGTTCAGAAGGCAAAGCAATTTGCTTTTTATTCATATTTAAATGGAAATTATTATTACAGTGGTAGCAATCAAAATCACATTTTGGAGGTGTGTGCAGAAAAGTAAATGAGTTAAATGTACTTAATTTTAAACTTAGTTCATTTTGCCCTTCATAAGCCTTTACTTGTCTAATTGGAAATCTCTAAGTGGTGCTATTGTAGGAAAGCATACAAATTTACATGCTTTTTAATATGTGATGTTTGTAAATGAGGCCATATCTCAGCCTTACAGATAGGCTTCACCATCAGCTTTTCCTGCTTCCATTTGTGGAGACTGGAGTGGCAGGGAAGTCACCCAAACATATCTTTGAGAAAGGAACAAACGTCTAAATTCTCAGTGTAGTCTCTATCTCTGGGTCTAAGTGGTATTATAAGTAATTTCTGCATTTAAATTATATTTTTGCCATGCAGTGCCATTGCATTTCTGTTTACACTGTAGAAGTCTGTATCCATCAAAGTCATATTTTTGAAGGTTTTTCTCTATGCATTTAAATCTTCAGTGAATTTACAGTAGAGCTGGGAAGAAATATATTTGCTATTTTCCAATGCCATAAGGTTTTCTGGGGTTTTTTATGTTTTTCTGTAAGATCACTACTCTAATTCAGTGGTACCTTTAATTCTAATGAGGATGGGTCACAATGTAGTTCTGGCTTCCAGGCAAAATTCAAGACTATTTCAAATTTATTACTCAAACAATGTAAACATCTTATTCTTTTGTGGCAATCTATCTGTACTAATTGACCAGATTCTTATTTGAATGTACTTATTAGAAGTTTGACATTTCTTATTTGGTATTTTAATGTTCATTCTTAGTACTACTTTATATAAAAACGAAGAGGTAAACTTTTCCTATGATGGATATAAGGGCTTATTAACAATGCGAAAGTACTGTAATTGTAACTCTTGAAAGTTAAACAGTACAGACTTGCATCACTGAAATGTCGAGGTATATTAATTTTAATACATTATTTCCACTACTTAGTTTGGGGTCTGTTTGTTTTTTTTTTCCTGGACAGGTCTTTGCCTTGAGAAAAGAGTGTTTTATAAACTGATTTCTGGTCTTCATGCTAGCATCAACTTGCATCTGTGTGCAAATTATCTTCTTGAAGGTAATTTGTCTAGATAAAACTGTTGAATAGAACTCTAAAATACCTGTAACGTATTTGTTTTTTTCTGAAAATTTTTGATGTATACTGAGTTGCTCTCTTTTTCTAAATATATGTGTTTTACTCCCACTGCCCTGTTTCTTCCTCTGTGTAGAAACCTGGGGGAAGCCTCGCTGGGGACCGAACGTGAAAGAGTTCACTCGCCGCTTTGACCCTACTGAAACAAAAGGAGAAGGACCGAGGAGGCTCAAAAATTTGTATTTCTTATATTTGATAGAGCTGCGTGCTTTGTCAAAGGTGGCACCGTACTTTGAGCGTTCAGTTGTTGACCTTTACACTGGAAATGGCCATGAAGATGCTGAATCTAAAGCTCTCTTGTTGGATATCTTCAGGGATACAAAGTAAGGCGTAGGTCTTTTTTTTTTTTTTTTTTTAATCAAGAGTTTGAAATTCTGAGTTATATTCACAAGTGAGAATGAATGACTTCTTGATAGGACAGGACAAGGAGAGTGGAATGCAGAAATAAAATTAAGTAATGGGAGAGCACAAGATGAATTTGTATGTTTGATGGGACAAGATGAATATTTTTGAGGTTTGAATATACCCGTCTTTAAAAAACAAAAAACTACAAAGAAACAAACAAAAAACCCACCAAAAAATACACACACGCCCCAACACCTTGGGCTACTCCCTATTTATTGCTTTTTCTGATTCTTCAGTATAAGATGCACGTGATTTATTTTGGAAAGGATAATAGTACATGTAGTCTTTTAAGGATCTAGTGAGTAATCCAGCTTTTATCATAGATTTAATCTCTGGGGTTTTAGCCATTCCTCCTTCCTTCTGTTTACTCTGTAAGGTTCTTTAGTCCAGTTCCTTTGCTTACCTTCTCGCTAATTTTTGTGATTGGTAACATGCTGTGTGGCTTCATTGCTGTCCCTAATTGTAATCTTGTTATGTATTTGAGAAGTGGTCAGACAACTATCAACTGAAAGGCAAACATTAAGACAATTTCAGTATATATTAGAAAGAAATCTTTTTTTGAAGAAAATTCTCAACAAAACTGTAAATAACAGATTTCAAGTTACAGTGATCAAATAGTAAAACTGATAACGTTCAGCAAATTTAAGAGCTATTTTGCAAAGACTAGGAATTCTGAAAAGTATTTTGCACTGATGGCATTAGCTGCTCACCAAGCTTGATGGCACACTGTAGTTTATACCAGCATTTGGGTTTTTTGCATTTTGTCTTTTACTAGGTCCTTCCATATGCACTTTGATGAAAAGTCCATGTTTGCTGGAGATAAAAAAGGAGCTAAGTCATTAAAGGTAAAGCTAGTTTTCTGAATGACATCCAACATACCCATTTTTGAATTAAGTTGCATTATTTTAGAAAACCTCTCTGCCTACCACAAGCATACTGCTGAGAGTAGAAAAGGCAGGGGTAAAAACTTACAGAATTGTCTCTGAGGCCTCTTAATCTACTTTATAGTAAATGAATACAAGGTGTTGTCCTGAGCCAAGCAGATTGAAATATTTGGTTTAGTGCCTTGGGTCTGCCATCAGGACTGTGGTGAGGCAAATGAGTTGAACTGGTATTGCCAGTAGATGCAATGGTGTTTTTTAAATAGAGTATCTGTTTCACGTAAATATCTGGAGGGGAAAAAAAAAAAATCAGTGATGTTTGCTTAAAAAACAGATGCCTTGTATAATATAATCTAATACTTTAGAAAAAGCATAGTTCCTAGACATGGGAACCTAATGTGACTGCTGTTACTTCCAGTGTTAACATGCTGGTGTTTGAATTGGTATGCACTAAATTCCACACTTGGAGTGTGGCTCAGTAATAAAGGTCTGTTTTAATAGTTTTTAACACTTTTAATGCTTATTTCAGTAGTAGTATGGAGTTTCATCTGCGTTAGAAAGAATGGTATTAGAAAGGTGCCAGTAGTTTATCAGCCCAGCTAGTGTTTTTCTGACCTTGAATATTTGAGATCATCTTAATTAGTTCTGTGCTGTGCTTGCTTCCACTCTGACTGAAGCTGCAAAGCAACAATCTACCCACAGCTTTGGACAGGTAATGTCTTTTGTGAATTGTAACTTGTTTGCCTGTTTCTCAAAAAGGTAGGTTGGTTCAAAAGGTATTTGAATAATGGAAGAAAAATTGGGCAGGGACACAGATATGGTACTTATAGCTCAGAAAATTTTGAGAGAGTTGGTAGAAACTCAGTGTACAGAATCAAAGCATTACCCTGCATGTCCTGGATTTTGGGGTTTTTTTTCCGAGGAATTAACTGTTAGCAGTGGCTTGCAAACAAGATTCTGGGTTTTCGTGGACTTCTTATGGCTTGACCATATCAGGTAGTGGGTTTGTTCAGTTTTAGTAACAGAGAATTGATACTCTAGTGGTATTAGATTAGTTAACCTTCTGTTTTTGTAAAGCTAAGTAGTACTCTAAGTTAACAGTTTTTATTTTGTTTTTAACTGATAGGAAGAATTCAGATTGCATTTCAAGAACATATCCCGCATAATGGATTGTGTTGGATGTGACAAATGCAGGCTGTGGGGCAAACTGCAGGTACAGTTTATTTTATGTCTGTGTGCGTGGCAGGGGGGGAGATTAGAGCATAAGCATCTATTTAAGTTTGGCAAGATGCCTCTTACCTTAGCATACAGAGTTTCTGCATAAGGTTGGTCTTTGATATCCTTAACTATATATTAAAAGTAGATGTGTTTAATTCACTGTTAAATAATTTTTTTTAAATATTGTTTAAAAAAACATACATTTTGTTTAGTCAGCAGCTGTTTAGTTTACTAAAAAGTGTAGTTTGTATTCTCTGAAAAAAATTTATTTAAAGCAGATGCTTCACAGCAAAGTCTTATTGGCAGTCAGTATTTTATCTGTATTCAATGATCAGGTCAGCCTTGTAGAATCACCTGTGGGAAGCCTTCCTGGAAATACAGCACTTGCTTAGTTGTTAGAAAATCCAGTGTGAGGTTTAACTCCACAAAGTGAGGCATAAGAAAAAGAAGTAATTCAGATTTTCACCATTTATGCAGAAGGCAGCAAATGAATGCAAAGGTGCACAGTAAAGCTGCAAGTTGAAAAACAATTTCAGTTTCTGGACACATTATTTTTATTTGAGAACAAGATTTTAAACCTCAAGATTAATGTTAAGTTCAGGCTGAGAATAGTTGTTACTTTGGGGTGCCTACTGTACTATACTGCTGTATAGCATTAGGCTCATCAGAGTTCGGTTTTGAAAGAAATTTATAACATCAAAAATTTGGTGGTCTCAGCTGGATTTCTGGAATTCTGCCTACCCTGTCCTAGTTAATGCTTCTGATCTATTATTGTTTTTTCCTTCTCACACAAAATGAAATAGGGCCACATTTCCTGACCTGTAAAATGCTCTTGCAGCCAGCCTCAACCACTTTTGACAAAAACCCAGTGGTTGTTTTTGCAGCCCTATTAAAAAGGGAAATAAGAATAGCTTTTTCTGTTCTATTTCTGTATAGAAAATTGGGGTTGAAACTGCAATGTCTGCTACTGGTACTGGGGGTGGAAAAAGCAGAAGTGTTGTGATACCTCATAATAAAACCTAGTTTGACTTTGAGGTGGGATGGGAGAGGAAAAGGGGAGATTTGGTCCAATGGCTCTGGCAGCACATCTCTAAGGTAAGGGGCACGGGAGGGAGCTGGAAGTGTTGTAACAGGCATATTTGCATATGCATCTGCTGTCGCTGAGGAAAAAAAGAGATGGGAAAGGAAGAGATTAAAAACACGAGGATGAAGAGCAAGTACACCTGAGGAAACTAACGTTCTTAAACATGTGACTGAAGCTGGTACACAACTGATGGCATGCACATGCATTAATGTCCTGGTTTGTGTGTGGTTATTTGGGTTGAGGGAGTGTCAATATATAAGACTTGGTACTACAATTGGCCTAGATTAGTAATTTTTTAGCTTTTTTATGGTTTTCTGAGTGTTCAAAGGAGTGATCTTTATTGATGTTAACACATTGGACTTTTTTTGTAGACTCAAGGCTTAGGAACTGCTCTGAAGATCTTGTTTTCTGAGAAAGAAATACAGAGCCTTCCTGAGAATAGCCCATCAAAAGGTTTTCAACTCACACGTCAAGAAATAGTTGCTCTTGTAAATGCCTTTGGAAGGTAAGTTTTTATCATTTGTTTAGTAGAAAAAACTTAAAACTTCAGTGTCAGCACTCGAGGTCTGTGGAAAGATGGTGTTGTACATGTAGCTGTAGCTTTGTAAAGGCTGAATTACTATTGGTGACATTGATAAAATTAATGCCATCAAACTGAGTACATGGAGTGTTGATTATTAGCCTTGGTCATCATTCTGTGTTTGGATATAATTCATCTCTTTATCTCAAAAATCATAAATTCCATCTTGTGAAAGCTGGATTTAAGTCTCTTAACCAGTCATAAGCATTAGACGTTGAGTATGTCTCCTTCTTTTTGAACACTGACTACAGCTGTTCTACATTTTCTATTTCTGTTTTAAATGTGTGTATGTAAAAAGTAGCGAAAAGGAAGAAAAATACTTGGAGATCTTTTTAACAGTGTCATTTAGCACCTAGGCTTTGGATTTTTGTGTATGATGTGATTATTTTTGTTAAAACTTCAGTTTTGATTATTTTTTTGAAAATTGACTCCATTGAAGTGATGAAATAAAACATTTTAGCAGCTTTAAAAGATGTGTAGAACTTGCTTTGTTCATCATGCTAGTTCTTCAGCTCTTGAATCTAACAATCTGTTCCTGCTTAAAAGAAAGTAAACATTATTACCTTTGGCTAAAGATTTTTAGATGTTTAATGAAGTTGGGACAATTAAACATACATACATACATATGTGTGTGTGTGTGTATAAAAACTTTAATCCCTGCAATATATTATGTAAATGTAACAGAGTCAGATAGTAGTTCTTTTGAGGGAAACTAGTATCTTAAGTGTGTTCATGTGGAACAGAATTGTGTTTGGAAAAAACCCAAACAAAACGCCCCTGTGGGATTTGCACTTCTCTTTTGCAGTTGACTTACTAACACTTAAGGGTTTTTTGTTTTACAGGCTTTCCACAAGTATAAGAGAGTTGCAGAATTTTAAAGTTTTATTACAACAAACTAGGTAATGAAGGCCTTTGCACAAGCCATTAGTGAAGACCATTTACATGACTGCATTGAGCAAAAGGAACTGATCCTTAGAGGACTCATATGAACTGATAAAAAGTAAAATCAAATACCAACTTGAATATTTATGTTTGAACGAGGAATGGATATTAATTAGAAAAGATATTTATGAATGAAATATATGGTTTTTAAATGTGTAAATTATGCTGATCGGTTTTATTTTTTAAGTTCTCTGCTCACAGTTCTGTTGTACTGAAACTTCATAAATTTTCTTTATTTCCTTGTCTTTCTGAGACGGTTGTTTTATATGAAAACATATGTACCTCCACCCTGACTTGGCCTGTCCTGAGAGAGGTGGTTTACCTCTTGCTTCTCCCCAGTACCCAGCTCAGTATATTCTGAGGATTGGGTATGCTGATTCTGGCTATCTAAAAGAAAAAAAAAAAAAAAAAAAGAAAAAAGAAAAAAACCCCACAGAAAAGGAAATAAGGCTCTTGTTGAGTTCTGACTTCTTACTGTAATAATGAAACTTACTTAAAAATAGGAAATCTACGGAGCAGAAAATTTTATTTCATACCAAACTCCTTTGCATCATGCTGATATCAACATTTTTTTCCTTATGTGCTGCTTTTCAGAATTTCCCTTTTTTCTTTAAGATAACTACCTTGTCTCTGAAGCAGCACAGTTGGGAAGTGACTTTTTTGCAGCCCCTGGGCTACCTGCATTTGCTTGGGGGTAGGGGTCAGGGCAGGGGGAGACGATTAGTGGAGTGCTGCTAGCTAAAAAGCCTCGGTTGATCAAATTCGCACCTACCCCATTTTATCTTCTAGATTGTAATTGCAAGTTCAGTTTCCAGAAATTGTCTTTTTAGTGTCTAAAATGTTAAAATAGCACACTTCAATCTTTGAGCCATGGGAATAGATTTGCTCTTTGCATTATGTTTTAGTGGTAGGTTAAAATGTCAGTGCAAAAAGTAAGAACTTGTTTTTCTAGTCACTTTTTTTAAAAGATGCTTTTTAAAATTCATCATCACACTGACATTTAATACCACATCTCTATCTATGCAATCCTTAACTGTATCTTCTTTAAAAGGATATTCAGCGTAAAAAAAACGGGTATGTTAATAACATAACTTTCATAAAATAAGAAATTATGTATCATTGTCCACAAATGTCAATTATAACTTACCATTGTCCAAAACAGAATTCAGAAACAGTACTACTGATTAGTAGCAACCAAATATTGGTTTAAACTGAAAATGAAGTAATGTCTTTTAAACCAGCATGTTTCAAAGTGAAGTTAGGAGTGATGAATGTAGGAAGTGCTGGTACAGTGTAGATACATCTTTTGTTTTTAAAAATAAGTCTTCACAAAATAAAGTGCTCTTAAACATTTTTCACCCTACCAGATATTTAGTGACCTGCTTATATAATTGATTGTAACTGTATTGGCTTCCATATAATGTGGTCCTTTACAGATGAGACTTTCTGAAAGCTGGAATACGCTCGATGTCCTTTGTTTCCAGACTAGCCTCAAATTTCTACCTGACTGGAAATGAGAGAGACTATCCTGCTGACTTGCTATTATAAAAAACACTGTTTTTCAAGAAAGTAAACCCTCTTGAGTCAAACTGGGGTAAGCTAAATGAAAGGGAAAAAAAAAAGAAAAAAACCAAGACATCACCACAAAGTTTTGGCGATAGTTGCACAAAATGGCAATGAACTTGTATCCAGTGGGAGGTTCCTGTTTAAGCCAGCAGATAATCTAACGTGTTAGAGAAAGTGGATGCCAGCCTGGGGATGTTATGTTCTTACCTAGCAGCCTCTCTGGCCTGCAGGCACCCGTGTCCGAGCAAGATACCACAGGCTTCCTTTTTCTAGTTAATGGAAGAGAGCAGGTGGTTCCTAGGGGGCTTCGTCTGGCCTATTCTGAGCTCTGTATTTGCACCCTGGAGTTTATTTTTCTCCATTAAATTGGAGAATCTGGGTAACCAGCTCAGATGTGAACAGCTGTGTTTGGTAAATGAGTTACACCCCAAGTAGCTAACTC